CCATCTCCCACTTCAAGTACCTGCTCTCTTATTCACCTCATGCCTTTTGATGCTGTAAATAAATGTTCTGCATGGAAGGAAACACTTCTAAATGAGATTATTGATATTTTATACTACTCTAACTGGGAATTGTTATGCTGAATGTTTTTCTGACTTTTCAAAGACTGTACAGACTATATGTGATTCTTCTCTCTCAACTAAGGCAGCTCCACACCCCCACCAACCTCCTGCTGCTCTCTCTGGCTGCCTCAGATTTCCTCGTGGGGCTCCTCATATCCTTTCCACTGGTCTCCTCAGACGGCTGCTGGTACCTGGGTGACCACATCTGTGTGCTGTACAGTGTGTTTGACGCCACACTGGTCACTGTCCCAGTGGGAACCATGGTGCTAATTTCTATCGATCGCTATGTGGCCATCTGTTACCCTCTGCATTATCATTATAAAATCACTGTGAGGAGAGTTTTAGTTGTTAATGTACTCTGTTGGGTCTGCTCTGTGCTGTATGTCAGTGTGATGCTTTGGGACATATTCATTCAGCCTGACCGGTTTAAAACCTGCCAGGGCGAGTGTGTAATAGCTTTTGATGATAATGAGGGAATCATAGACTTTGTCCTGATCTTTGTAGGCCCTGTATCTGTGATCATAGTTCTGTATCTCAGGGTGTTTGTGGTGGTGGTGTATCAGGCTCGGGCCATGAGGGGTCAGATTAGAGCCGTAACTCTGAAACGATCAGAGGCCGTGCACGTCAGGAAATCTGAGCTGAAAGCTGCCGGGATCCTAGGAGTGGTTGTTGTTACTTTTCTGTCGTGTTACTTCCCATATTACTGCTCCTCCTTAGTAGGGGATTTTCATTTTAGTTCGACAGCATTTCCTTTGCAGACCTGGCTGCCGTACTTTAACTCCTGTCTGAACCCACTCATCTATGCCTTTTGCTACCCCTGGTTCAGGAAGTCTGTTAAGCTCCTACTGACACTAAAGATTCTTCGCCGTGGCTCCTCTAGGCTGAACGTCCTGTAGAGACACTGCTCAGGCTCTGACACGAAGCGTCTGAGTGAAGAGGCTGGACATTATCCAGATACTCTGAGCAAATGTAGATTTACAGTATCTCTGTGAGTGTAAGGAAA